ACGGGAGTGTACAACTGTTGTCAGTTGGCTCATCAAACGAGACACAAACCATGAGGAGACCCACGATTCATAGTTTACAAAGTTAAAATGCAGAAAATAAACAGTAAGTAATTTAATGTCCTGCTACATTTGTTATCCGTAATTTCATATACACATAACCACAATTTGTTCTAAAGATAATCATGTAAACACTATAAATGAGGAGGACTTCTGTTCTACTGAATTTCTGGATCTGAATGCAGACACAGTGGATAGCAGTGCAGTAGATCCCTTGCCCTCCCTATTGCAATCATTAGCCCTGCTGGTAATCAGGAGGATTATAGGAGATGAGTCTGAATGGTAAAGAACTCAACTGATAAAAGAAAAGTCCACCATTCTCCAATTCTCATACTGCTCTCCTGACAAAAATGCTTGCTGCAAACCAACAGCTTTGCTGTATCGGCAGAATCACGGAGAAAAAAACATGCAACAAACCCTGTGGATCATGGAAAGGAACACATACGACCCTTAATGAACGGCTAAACACTGCTTGACATGCACGGAAGCGGTCTCACCCAGTCATTGGGTCTCACAAGTTGGCAGGTCTGCCTTGCCTTCGGAAAGCATGTGCTCTCATGAAAAATAAAGCAGCAACATCTTCTTATAGAATAAGAAAACTATGAATAAAAATGAAAAACCGACACGTCATCTCTGGACAGGCAGATCTGCGCAACATCACAGATTTTAATCCCACCCCCAAAATGATTTTAAACCTTATACAATTTTCCCCGCAACTAAAGCTGACAGGTGCTAATGTTGTCTTAACTGATGCTCAACACACACAAATCTGTTAAAGTCTCAAAAAAGGGTTTCTTGAACCTTTAAGATTAGACTTAAGACTTTTTTTGTTCTCAAAGGCATCTCACCTCAGGAGGTGTGATTATTATTTTAGTCTGCAAGTGGTTGTCTGTCTGTTTGTGTTGATTTGTTAGAATGATCACTGGCCAACAATAGTTGTAAGGAACCTGTACATATATGTGAACCTGCACCACAAAAACAGTCTAATATATAGGAATAGCCCAAACATGTTTTTCTTTTATGCCAGAACTTAAAATATTAAGTAAAGATGATGTTTCATGAAGACATTTTGTTAAATATAAAAACATATCAATGTATTTTTATTAGTAAGATTCTTGGCTAAGAACTTGATTCATGAGTGACTTTAATATATATTAATTTAAAAACTCTCAGATTCCAATTTTTCAAATAGTTGTATCTCATTAAAATTTTGTCCTATTTATACCAGAACAAACAACAATGGAATGTTCATTTACCCAGTTTTTACATAATATAATTCTGAAATTCAATAATTTTATGATTATGACCCCTAAAAATACCTCATACATATATTTTATATATTTTTTTAGAGAAAAAATTGCCGCTTTCAATTATTATAACTGGAAAACCAAAGTCTGACCACAATGCATTGTTGCAAATAGCATCTTGTGCAGAGTGCAGCAGACCTTCCACATGTTCTGATTACACAGAAAATATGTATACTGTATGCTATATACATGCTAATAAAGAAAGCCACAGCCCACAATAATACCTGTTTATTTTCTGAGCAAGAGTTCTGTTAGCGGCACAGAAATGACACCGCATCCTTACTTATATGCGTTTTCCAATCAAAGACTCAATTCCATGTCTGAGATACACAGAGTTTAGACCAGTCAGCAGTCAGGCATGAGCATTAGAGACTTTCCAAGAAATCTGAGCTAAAAATGGCATGATGTTTAAGATGTATTCCTGCTCAGCTTGATGATGTCATACTGCTGATCTACTATATCTCTTTCATAATGAGATCGTATCACCAATCGCCCAGTTAAAATGAGAGAAAGAGCGATTTGTGTGCATTAATCTGATACACACTTTCTGAGAACTCATCTCTAAGCACATTTTCCATTTATTTCTTATCTGCACCTCCAAGAAAAGGGATATATCAGTGTGTTTGCAAAAATAGCACAGCCAAAAAGTAACAATGTCCCTTTCTCTGTTTTTGTTTCTCTTTCTCTCTCTTCTGTCATGTTGTTTTGGCGTTTCTTCTTTGTGAGGCACATGTTCTGCCTAGAAGAAGAATGAAGACGAGCACTGGAAGAGATCTGCATTCACATAGCAAACCCTCCAGGGAGGAGATCTGATTAAAGGCAGGGCATCTCTATGTAGCACACTCAAGAGCCTCGCTCTGACTCTCCTTTACGGTCTATAACACTGATAATCCTTTTATCCAAGAAGCTGTTAGTGGGTAAACTGGGGCTAAAACTAAACATTTGACAAGCAGATTCAAAAACACAATCAAATGCACTGATAAAACCAGATGGATTTGCGTAGCTCCGAATAATCATTGATAGCTTGAGAATCAGTTTTTGAAACAGTCACTACTACACTTTTAAAAAGAGCTGCAGAGAATGCTAGCAAAATGTACAGATAATTACAACAAAACTGCACCGCTAACAGCTCCGGCTAAAGTTACTTCTATTGCTCCTAATTAATAGTTTACATCTATAGGAAAATGTGCAGGCAAAACAAGTAAACAAGCTTCACTGTCACTACCAGCTAAATATGCTAACAGTTGTAGCTACTTTTTATAAATTACTGTAAATCTAAATCTAACAGTCTCAAATATTTATAATCAAATATTTATAATAACTCTGACTATTAGTTAAATATGCTAAAAGTCACTTCTATAGCTAAGCGTCACATGTAAATCTAAAGATAGGCTACTTACTGTAGCTTACTACTTACTGATGTTAGCTTCAATTGTCACTACTCAGAAATTGTAGTAAACTTTACAAACAATTAGGCTACTACAAAATGGCAGGTAACACAGTGAATTAAACTTGACTGAAAAACTGAAATAGCATTTTCTTGGGGATGTAATCCAGTATTTTTTACAGTGGGCTGCTAACTATGCTAATAGTTGAAGCTACAGCTAAATCTAGATACTTACTACAACATCCATAAATTCATTCTTTCTTTTCTTTTTGGCTTAATCCCTTTATTAATCAGGGGTCACCACAGCGTGATGAACTGCCAACTTATCCAGCATATGTTTTACACAGCGGATGCCCTTCCAGCTGCAACCCATCTCCAGGAAACATCCATACACACTCATACACTACGGACAATTTAGCCCACCCAATTCACCTGTGCCGCATGTCTTTGGACTGTGGGAGAAACCGGAGCACCCGGAGGAAACCCACGCGAACGCAGGGAGAACATGCAAACTATATAACTACACATTTATATAACTACACATATAGAAAAGACACATATACTTATTGGTAACAGTTCAACAACAGTCACTGTGAGCTAAATTTGGCTACATTTGCTTCAATAGCTACTTATCAACAGTCACGAGTAAATCTACAGGTAGTATTGTAACAGTTTTAGTATTGTAACAGCTTTATTGTAACAACTAGCTAAAGATCCTAGCATTAGTTACTACTTATCAGTAGGCCCACACTCAATCCGCGAGCACAGAATTCTGCTGATTTTATTTATTTACGTGGTAAATGTGTGTAAATTCATATTTATTCAGTAATATTATTGACTAATATGAAAATGTTTATATGATTTATTTACAATACAGTTTGTAAAGTAATATGTTCTGTCTTTTAGTAGATATATTATATGAGAGACTTGCTTTGTTTACCAAATAAAGTGGATCTAATTGGATTTGCATTGTAAACATTAAATAAAAGTTAAAAGGTACTACTTTTATGTCATAAATTAAGGTTTTAGTTATGATACTCCCAAAATAATTTCACAAAAATCCGCAGATTTTTAACAAAAGTCTGTGCAGAAATAGCAAAAAAAATGTCTGCAGATTCTGTCTGGTCCTACTTATCAATCAGAATAAATATACTGTATAATGGCCCCAGATATTAATAATAACTGTGACTAGTAGCTAAATATGCTTCTACAGCTACAGGTCAATAATACATCTACATGCTTTGTATTGTAACAGCTACTGCTATTAGTTTCATTTGTCACTACAAACATGTTACCAGTTGCTACTAGACTACTTAGTTACTATAAATTTAGATATCCTTATTGTAATGGCTACAGATAGCTCTCCTGTCAATATAGCTAAATATGCTAAGATTTACTCCTATGTATTTACTGCTTATGAATGGTCACAAGTAAATCTATAGTGCATCAGAAATAGTACACTCATTAAATAGGTACTATTTTAATGTAAACTTACTTAAAGGACTTTAATTACTTTATTTAATTACTTTAATTATAAACTTAATTACTAATGGGTAGTGTGAATGAAAATTGGATGTACTACAGCTGCAATGGTGTCATTATCACATGACGTAGCCTTCATTTAAATAAATCCTTTAGTAAAATGTCCACTAAACACACGTTTTACAGGTCATACATGTACTTATTACAAACAGTTTTTGTCATTATAGTTATAAGTATTATTAGTACTATTATAAATTTGGACGTACTACTTAGCTCACATTATGTTTTTACCATTCTACTATGTAGTAGGGAAGTGTGTTATTTCAGATGCAGCACTAGAGACACTGTAACAGATACAGATTACAGACATTTATCAAAACTGTCACTACATGCTAAATATGATACATCTGCTACTACAATGATATATCAACACTTACAAATAAATGTGTATATCATTTTTATTATCAGTTTAAAAGCTAAATCCATTGTATTAAACGACCTTAGAGATCAAAACACCTACAGCCAATCTTTCTCATTCATTTTCAAGAGCACGGCATCCACAAATTCAGCATTATTAATGCAGCTCAGACATAAACAACTCCAGCACTTCTAAAATTACTTCTCTAAGACAGGATGCTGACTGCCGTAAAACAGATCTATTATAAAACGCAATCAGCACACAAACGAGCCATACAGTGCTGTGCATCTAAACAAAGTGCAGAGATGTCATCTTTTGGACTATACAGGACTAGATTGCTTAAACTCACCCTGTTAAAGCGCTTGGCCTGGAAGAGGTGTCCGTTCACCCGGTACAGCTTCCTCCATCGTCTAGCTCCACGGCGGTAGATCGATTCTAGAAGACAGAGAAAACGATTGTATAGGAGCAGCATTGAGACTTGAAGAACGGAAAAAAAATCAATCCGAACACTAAAGAAGATTCAAAGAAAGGGGACAGAAGAAGGAAGATGGTCAGAAGTGTGGTTGGTCACGAGCCCTATAGTAAACAGAGACAGATTTTAACTGCGACTGGATGAAAACATGTCCCTCGCAGAAGCCAGAGTAAGATATCCCTCCCTCTCTCTCTCTCTCTTTCTCCCTCTCTCTTTCGTTTCTTCCCTGTCTCCATCTGACCAACCTCCTCCTCGCACTCTCTCATTTCTCTTCTCCTGTCGCTCTGTGATTCCCTGAAGCATCACTTTGGTCACATGTCGACTGTTTCATGTTTTAAGAAAGTAAAAAAAAAGATGTCAAGCATCTAGACTGACCCAAATTGAGTCGACCTGAATGAGACTTTGATCTGCTGCCTCTCTGGGGTTTTGTCTTTATGTAAAAACCACCTTGACAACATTAATGATGGCCTTTTTAAAGGTTTTGACAAAAAATACTACCTTCGTCTGAACTGACATACATACTTTAAAAATAGGCATGCACCAATATGGGATTTTAAAAACCTTTTAATAGGGATGTCCCGATCAGATTATTTTGTTTGCCCTCGAGTCAGAGTCAGAGTCATATTATTTTGAGTATCTGCCGATACCGAAACCCGATCCGATACTTCTATAATACATTAAATAATAAAAATAAATAAAGAAGAGCGAAGAAACAGATCAAGGATGTTCCCTTCAACAATGTTAACAAACAGAGCACTTCAGTGAGGTAGCTTGAACAATCAAGTAATAAATAACATAATTTTTTTTTACATTTGGACTTTAGTAAACTAATAAAAACAAATAGCATCTCAATTCAATTCAATTCAATTCAGCTTTATTTGTATAGCGCTTTTACAATGTAGATTGTGTCAAAGCAGCTTCACATAAATGGTCATAGTAACTGGAACAGTGTGGTTCAGTAACTGGAACAGTGTGGTTCAGGTTTTAGTGTTTAAGTTCAGTTCAGTTCAGTTTAGCTCAGTTCAGTGTGATTTAATCATTACTGAGAGTTCAAACACTGAAGAGCCAATTCATCGATGCGTAGCTCTACCAATCCTGAACCATGCGAGGCAGTGGCGACAGCGGAGAGGGAAAAAAAACTTCACCTGATGGGAGTGAAGAAAAAAAACCTTGAGAGAACCAGACTCAGTTGGGCACGACCATTTTAATTTCTCCGCTGGCCAAAAGTCTTGTGCAGAACTTCATTCGCCGTGGTTTAGGCTGGAAGATGGCCTCAGTGAAGACTCGTCTGGGATACCCAACTTAAGATACCCAACAGGCAATCCCAAGTTTACATATCTCAAAGTTTGCTATGGCAATGTTGTGGTCATCAACTTTATAATACCTCCAGACAGCAGATATACTCGCGATTTCCGCTTCACGCTGCTTTTTTGTTTTACTTTGCCGGCATTTAACCAATAGCGCCTCTGCAAAAAAGTGATGTCATGCCGCACATGTTGCTGTTTCTTCTGTGTAAAGTCAAGAAAGAGGTCTAACTCTGTGCCACTTTATAACAATTGATGTGTTATAAAATAATGAGAATATATACAGTTGAAGTCAGAATTATCCGCCCCCCTGAATTGTTAGCCCCCCTGTTTATTTTCCCCCCGTTTTGTTTAACAGAGAGAAGATTTTTTTTCAACACATTTCTAAACATAATAGTTTAAATAACCTATCTTTAATAACTTGTTTATTTTATCTTTGCCATGAAGACAGTAAATAATATTTGACTAGATATTTTTCAAGACACTTCTATACAGCTTAAAGTAACATTTAAAGGTTTAAATAGGTTAACTAGACAGGTTAGGGTAACTATTCACCCATAAACACACACACACTCTTAGAAATAAAGGTACAAGAGCTGTCATTGGGGTGGTACTTTTTTAAAAGCTACACATTTGCACCTAAAGAATACTTATTAAAACCTCAAGAGTACATATTAGTACCTATAAAGTACAAAATTGTACCTCTTAAAATGGTCAGGTACAAATATATGCTTTTGAAAAGGTACCACCCCAGTAACAACTCTTGTACCTTTATTTCCGACTTGTATTCCGATATATTATGATCGAGTTTGACACTGGGCTACTGGGCCCGATTTCCAATTACATGATCGGATCTGGACATCCCTACTTTTTATAAAACTCTTTAGATTTGGAGGTATAGTTGATAAATATAAATATAAATCTTTTAACAATTTCAAAATGATTTTTGAAAAAAACAGAAGGTAGAAATGTTTGATCTCTGATTTTTTCTGATCTTTGATTCTCGGATATTTCTTTTTTCTTAAAATCCACTGCCTGACAAAAAAATAATAATAATAAAAAAATCCATAAATAAAATAAACAAGTCACTGAACATGAACTAAATCCAAATACCAAGACAATAATAATAGGTGGCGCGCAGCAAGCACATAAAGACGTTTAACCAGCGGAAATAATTGATCAGCTTAAGATGTCGGCCTAATATTTTTATTGGACGATAACGTTAACATAAAAAAATAGTATTTATTGGCTGATATGGCCACCACAGTATTTTGAGTAATTAAATCTATAATAAATTGTATTTATCTGTCCCCTCTAGCTTGTGATTCATGGGTGTTTTCTGCTTATTTTTGCTTTCAAATTGCATTATGGGGTCCAATCTCATAACTTCTGATGCTGATAATGTACTAAGTTACTGTTATTGACATTTCTAGTAGTGAAACACTATAGTTTGAAACACTAAATTGTCTGGTTTAGTCAGTTTCAGACTACCTTCAGAAAATGTGAAAAACAAATGTTAAACCATAAAGATACATCTTCAGCATCAATAGATCATTGCAATAAAAATCATGAATTAATAAAAAAAACGGTAATAAAACCTTAGAAAAAAACAACCCCCATAATCATCCTGTCCTTACTACTGTCCTACAGGTAGCTCAGATTCCCCCATTCTCCCTCCATCATTATGTTCTTAACTAATGTTCCAGTTAATCTAGAGGACCTTTATCATCTTCAAGCGTGAAGGAGATGCGAGAATTGTGCTGGAGCCCAGGAGATTTGCTGTCTGCTACCGTTTCATGTTTCTGCCCTCAACCGCAAACTGTTACGTAAACCAATAAATATTGAAATATTGTCGAAACTTTCAAGTGTCAGCCACTAATGAGCACCGTAGGAGATTCAAAAGCCTACGATGTCTGCATGTATGAGAGAGAGAGATCTAAGCAAAAAAATGAGGAAATGAAAGTCTGCGTTAAGTCTTCAGAATCTAATGTGTGGCATAAAGCAGCTAAAACATTACTCCTATAATGATGTATACTCAGCTTTGGAGTGCACTAAACTCAAGAACGTCAGCGTAAAATCAACACTCGCATTCAGACATTTAAATTGTCGCTTGCGTCAAAATTACGCAACATGAATCATTTATTAATAGAACATGTTGAAGCTGAAACTCACGCAGACTTGTAGAGGAATAACTGGTGCTCCAATAGTGCAGTTTAACATAAGCAAGTGTTTTTACTTGAACATTATACTCAATGAGGCTGATTTGGAGAAAAACAGCATCATTGTTTGATAAGAGACACGCAAGGAATTACATAATTACATTACATAATAGATCAATCTTGAGGAATTACATGTATAATTGATATAGACTTTATAATACACTATTTTGTACAGATCATGCAGTAGAGTTGCATAATATTAGAAAAAAACTCTAATTTACGATATATAATGCGATATAAATGCAATTTAACCAGATGAATTGAATAGCTTGTAAAGAATTTATAATTTTAGATGAGTTTCTGTACAGGCCCCTCACTGACAAAGGTCCAGAATTTGTCTCATACATGAGCTCATTTGTTCTATTTTGACTGCTATGCCATCATAAATAGTGACAATAACCCATCGAAAAAGTCTTTAAGACTAATCTGAATTCTCTGTTGGCTGTCGCTTCGGTGCAACTTCAACTATTCAGTTTTGGCCAATGCTAACCAATATTTTTATTTTACAATCTAACGTACATGTAAGAGAAGTAATCTTTCACTGCTGCATTGTTTTTAAACAGAAAACATTTAAAAACATTTATTCTTAATCTTGGACCTTATGCTTAAAACAAAAAGTGAGCAATAAAATGGTGTAAAGTGGTCCTTCTGATTTGAGTAACAATTTGGTTATTTTTGTGATCCATGAATTTTCAAATGCATATTTTTTACAAGAGAGGCTGGAAAAACTGTAAAGCTCCACATTATTATTATTACTATTAAAACATAATAGTATTATATTATTATTATTATTATTATTATTATTATTATTATTTAATAATAATATGATAATACTATTATTATAATTTTGAAATGGTCAAACGGATGAAAGTCGAATGTGCTGCAGGCCAGTCTGTTATTTGCCTAATAAATGGACAATAGACTACAATTTTTAATTCAAAACTGTAGCAGATTTCAATTTTTTTATATGATATAGGATGTAATAAATGTGTGTTTTAGAAATAAGTATTTCTTCAAAAAAAATATTATAAATATTTAAGAAATATTTTTCTATCATATTTATATCAAAAAGTGTGGTTAAGATGACCATCCGACAAGCCAATTCAGCTAAAATAGTGCTTAAACTGTCACTAAAACAAGCAAAAAACTGCAAAAAGGTCCACTTTTTGAGAAAAAAAAGAACCACCCACTGGCCACAGGCCTGCTGTAGGGGAAAGTATATCTGCATGAAATATGGGCCAATTCTAAAAATGACAAGCAAAGTTTAAAACAACAGAGAAAAGATTCAAATGAACAATGATTTATGACTTTCTAGTGAGTCAACAGTATTCAGAAACAGAAATGAAATAAACACTCTATAATAATAATAATAATAATAATAATAATAATAATAATAATAATAATAATAATAATAATAATAATAATAAAAACAACAACAAT